ACCGCAGACACTCCACCTGCCGCCGCTGCCACAGAGAGCCAAGGCGAGGGGGCAGAGTGAGCACCAGTGCCTGTGCAGGCAGGAGGGCAGGCTGAGGGGGCAGGCAGGGCGGGGCAGCACGGCAAACACCACCGTGGCTCTGCGGCGGCCCACCCTCTGCCTAGGCCTGGGCCGGAGCCTCGCGGTGCCCCCTCTGACCTGCCCGCCCTGCGTGCGTGGCTGGCTGCGTCGCTCTCTCCCCATGACTGCTGGAGCCGAGAGGAAATGCACGCTTACATGCCGGTGGGGCGCGAAGGCTGCATGGCCTGGCGTGACACTGCCGTGTGCCACTCCTTCCAAGCACCCACTACACTGCACCAACGCTATCACCAGCACTCACATGCTCATGCCTAGTGTTTGGGGACATCGTCAGGAATGCTCGTTTTCTCTCACCAAAGGGCTGGCTTCGTCATTCATAATCGGCCATCTGCCTGCGCAGGCCAACCCTTCTCACCCCTCTCTCCTTCACCCCTGCCCCTCCGTCTCCTCTCCCCCCCCCCACCGCAGCCGTCTCACTTTGCCCGCCCCTCGCGTGCCTTCGCCCCCCAGCTGCGCGTCTACCAAGCCATGCACCGCCGCTGCGCCGCCCGACTCTCCTTCCGCCACGGCCTGCCGCCCGCTGATTCCTTCAGGTGGATTCAGGTAGCTTCAGGTGGGTTCAGGTAGTTTCAGGCGGGTTCAGGTAGCTTCAGGTGGGCTGGCAGCCTGCAGCCAAACACTGAGCAGCTGGCGCTGCTCTTTCACCCACACCCTCTGGCCCTGAGCTCTTCCCCCCTTGCTCCCTGCCTGCTTGCCCGTGCCTGCCAGGTCGGTGCTTCAAGGCAATGGCAGCGAGGGCCAGGCGCCCTGCCGGTACCTCTTCTACCAGGACTCCATCACAGGCAGGTGCCAGTGCGAGCCACACGTGCCTGGGAATGGAAAGAGCTGCCCCTGATTTGATCCGTGAGCACTAGTCCCGCCTGTGCTGCCACCGCCTCTCATCTCCCCTTGTGCCCTCTTCACTCTCCCATCGTCCAACCGCCCATCCCATTCCCTTCCACCGCCCTTCCCCTCTCCCTGCCCTCTTCCCACAGCCTCCTCTTTTGGCGCTACCCTCCCCCCCCCTCCCCTCCCCTCTCTTCCCCCCCTCCCAGGAGTGGGCAACCGCATTCTGGCAGTGGTGTCGGCCTTCGCCCTGGCGCTGCTGACAAACCGCACCTTTCTGCTGTCCGCCGACTCCCTCCCCGCCACTGCCTTCTGCCAGCCCTTCAACGCCTCCTCATTGTCCCTCCCTGCTGCCCACTTCGAGTGAGCCCCTTTTCACTCTCGTTAGAGAGGCCAATGCACCACGGTTTGACCATGAAGAAACACAATCCAAATGTGCCGCATGCAGGAGCTTGGCACGGCGGAAGGAGCCCTCCCTTTCCCACTCAGTTCACTGCCACGTTGCCCTTCCTGCTCCTTCTCTCCCTCTCTCAACTCTGTTTGACCGGTGCCCCCTCATACGTGCCTTTGCTCATACGTGCCTTTGCTCATACGTGCCTTTGCTCATATGTGCCTTAGCTCATGCACGTGATCATGCCATGCATGCACATGGGTGCCCCCTGGCAGAGCCATAGTGAGGGACATGGCTGCCGATGCCAAGCCCAACGAGTTCCCCCCCTCCAACCGCTCCCTGCACCTTGACTACCCGTGAGCATCTGCACCACCCGTACCGTGGATGTAGGCCGCCACCGATACCCGTACCGTGCGTGTAGGCCGCCACCGATACCCGTACCGTGCGTGTAGGCCGCCACCGATACCCGTACCGTGCGTATAGGCCGCCACCGATACCCGTACCGTGCGTGTAGGCCGCCACCGATACCCGTACCGTGCGTGTAGGCCGCCACCAGCCCTGATTTTATCAGACTATTTTAGTCTGATTGTCTGAAATTTCAGACCCATTTTTTTGCCAATCCTGATTTTTCAGACTTAGGCTTTTCTGGATACTGAACCCTTCAGACTTGTAAGGTTTTGGATCCTGAACTTTTCAGAGTAGTCGTTGTGCGGATACTGAGGTTTCAGAGTACATCGCGTATGGACTCTGAATGCGACATCCATGCACCTTGTACTTTCCACGAGATTTCCTCTACTACGTCATATGTTGCCTTCCATCATTTCACCCCCGCACGTCTCACGTGAAGTATCTGCACTTGGCAGGATTCCCGCCGCTTCTGTGACTGTGATGCTGCCTCAACAGGGACTTTGCCGCTCAGCGCGTCATGCTTCCTGCCACGCGTGCGACCTCTACGTGGGTGTGTTGGAAGCCATCAAAGGCTGGTAACGCGGGATTCTTGCCCTCGCTGGCATGTGCAAAACTTTCCGACCGACCGTGATTGGTGACGGTCCATGCCAACACATGGTTCGTTTGTAACGTCAGCTCATATTTGGCATGGCGGCGCGGGTTTGGAAGGGGCTGCCATCCAGAAGCTGACGACGACGGTTAACCAAGAAACACGCGCCTCGGGCTTGATGGTGCCCTTCTTCTTCGTCCCTCTCATCCCTCCCCCTCCTCTCAGGCGCACTCAGGCTTTTACACGGGGTTTGTAAATCTTACTCCTCAATTCGTGTTTCGTTGTTGTCGTCCTCACGTAGGTTCTCGTTTGTCGACCCCGTCAACAGCCATGACGGGGACTCCTGCAGAAGAAGACGATGAGCCCAGCGCCGATGAACCACCTCATAGTAACGAGCCTGCAGAGGTTCGTCGCTCTGCGATAGACATACTGCGGTCGTTAGGTTCTCCTCCCGTCGTTGCTGTTGTGGTTTCCTCCGCAGAGGAGGAAACCCAGCCTGCTCTAAACCCACCCCCGTCCGCGCCCTTCGTGCCACCACCATATGTCCCTCCGCCTGCCGACGCCTCATCCAGCAGAGGCCCGACTCTGCCCGTTAACTGCGTCACCGCCACCACAGTCCGCTACAGCGTGCCCTGCGCGTCCACGATTTTGTCTGCGAAGAAACAACGGACGGGCAAGTACACCCAGTCTCAAATCATGATCGGAGGTAGGCTCCGCCGCCCGTCCACGCCGCCATCACCTAGTGCAGTCCCTGCCGTCGTTGAACCGCCACCGCCAAAGCTGAGTAAGAAGGAATTGATAGAGCAGAAATACCTCGTCGCTGAAGCAAAGTACAAAACTTCATGGCTGCCTTTCTTTCCATGGCTAGTGCTGACCAAAACAAAAGACGGCCACCCTTCTCTCAAGTGCAGTGTGTGCATGGCGTTTGGCAAGGAGACCACCAAGTACAGCTCTTCGGGCGATGGTGGCCGAGACCTGCAGACACAGACCATGCGCATACACAAACACTCATCTGCACACAAGGAAGCTGTGGATGCCCAGCTGAAGATTGCCGACGACATCGCTGATGGGCAGAAGACGATGGACGACTATTTGTCGTCGGATGTCGAGGGGAGGCGGGTCGTGCGACTGCTCCGCGCTGTTGAGTTTCTCTGTAAGGTCGATGCTCCCATCAGCATGTTTCCTCGGCTATGTCGCTTTATGGCTGAGCAGGACACCCCGGACCTACCGCTCCAATCTTACGGTGTTTACCTCACTCGGTAAGTACCGGCGAGTACATTCCATTAGTCTTCTCCGTTGGATTATTTTAACAATTACTCTCTCTTCTGCGTGCAGGTACGGCTTTCAACAGATGGTCCACTGCTTGGCGACTCTTCTTCAACGGACCCAGATGCAGCACATTCAATCGTCCCCGTTCCTTGGCATCAGTTGCAACGAGAGCACTGATCGTACCAGAGGGAAGCACCTGATAGTGTACCTCACGTTCCTGCGCCATCGCCGCGTCGTCACCGAGTTTTTCTCGTTGCTCACCGTCGAGAAGTGCGACGCCGCATCCCTGCTCTCCGTGCTTCTCACTCATCTTCAAGGCGCCGGCATCGAACTCAACCGCATCGCGGGAATCAGCACCGATGGCGCTTCCGTCATGGTTGGGCGCGAGAACGGTCTCGTGAGGCGGCTCCGCGAGCACATCCCTCACCTTGTGTCGTCCCACTGCATCGCCCACCGGTATAAACTCGTTATGTTATGTTGTCGCTTTTTTCTTTTATTCGTTTACTAATCTTTTTACATGGACTGTGCGCAGGGAAGCTCTGGCTGTGAAGGACGCCGCATCTGCCTGTCCAGACTTGGACATGGTCGACAAGGTTATCCGATCTCTGGCCGATCTCCTCGGCCGTTCAAGCGTGTGGAGCCAGCGGTTCAAGTACCTGCAGCGTGTCATCCACGAGACCAACCTTGAAGTTCAAGGAATCCACGCGATTCGGTGGCTGTCCAGGGGCGAGGCAGTCAGACGCCTCTGTAAGGTCCTTGGTGCGGCCATCATTTTACTGTACGAGTATAACCATGAGCTGTACGAGGTTGTCATCTCATACAAGTTTCAGTTTTGTCTCTTCTTCCTGGCGGACGTCCTCGCCATCATGAACGAGCTCAACCTCAAGTTTCAGAAGCGAGAGGTGAGCCCTTGCATGTGAGCTTGTGGTATGTTCTTTCACAATCAGCACTAACATTCTCATGTTTCCACCACCCCCCCCCTCCCCCCCCTCCCCGCCCGACCGCAGGTGGATGTTACCGAGATAACACAGGACGTCGACGAGGCGGTGGGGGATCTTCGGCACCGCTACTTGGAGTGCGGAGGGGTTTTCGGTGCGGGCGTAAGCGGCACGTGGCTCTCAGCTTTCTTAACCGTGTACGGGCGAGGGGGGGCGAAGAGAGTGAAGGTGCGCGGCGTCGACAAGGACGAGCAGCCGGTGACGCACACGTACCAGATGCACGAGCGGCAGATCAAGGGGCACGTCTACCAGAGCAACTACCGGGACTGCGAACTGTTGTGCGCGAAATTCGCGAGGGGGAGCGTGACGAACCTGCTGGAGCGGCTGGACGACCTGTCGAAGCTCGGGCCGACAAAGCTGTTTCGGGCGGGCAAGTGGCCGCGGCATCGGATGGTGAGGGAGAAGAAGACGAGAGAGTATCTCCATGGCTGCAGTGCTATCTTCGATGACAAGCTCCCCGGGTTCGATTTGAAGGAGGCGGAAAAGGAGCTGGCAACTTGGGCCCCGATCATGCAGAACCACCACAACGAGGAGGGCTTCTACCAGGGCCTCACAAACTACCAGAGGGAGTAATAACAGAGGGAGTTAGAACAGAGGGAGCAAGAACAGAGGGAGGAAGAAAAGAGGGAGTAAGAACAGAGGGAGGAGGAACAGAGGGAGGAAGAACAGAGGGAGGACGAACAGAGGGAGGAAGAACAGAGGGAGTAGGAACAGAGGGAGGAAGAACAGAGGGAGGAAGAAAGGAGGGAGTAAGAACAGAGGGAGCACGAACAGAGGGAGGAAGAACAGAGGGAAGAAGAACAGAGGGAGTAAGAACCGAGGGAGGAAGAAAAGAGGGAGTAAGAACAGAGGGAGCAATAACACAGGGAGTAAGAACAGAGGGAGTAAGAACAGAGGGAGGAAGAACAGAGGGAGGAGGAACAGAAGGAGGAAGAACAGAGGGAGTAAGAACAGAGGGAGGAAGAACAGAGGGATGAAGAACATGGGGAGTAAGAACAGACGGAGGAAGAAAAGAGGGAGTAAGAACAGAGGGAGCAAGAACAGAGGGACGAAGAACAGAGGGAGTAAGAACAAAGGGAGGAAGAAAAGAAGGAGTAAGAACAGAGGGAGTAATAACAGAGGGAGTTAGAACAGAGGGAGTGAGTAAGAACAGAGGTAGTAAGAAGAGAGGGAGGAAGAAGACAGGGAGGAAGAACGGAGGAAGGAAGATCAGAGGCAGGAAGAAGAGAGGCAGGAAGAACAGAGGGAGGAAGAACAGAGGGAGTAAGAACAGAGGGAGTAATAACAGAGGGAGTAATAACAGAGGGAGTAAGAACAGAGGTAGTAAGAACAGAGGGAAGAAGAAAAGAGTGAGGAAGAAAAGAGGGAGGAAGAACAAGGGGAGGAAGAACAAAGGGAGTAAGAACAGAGGGAGAAAGAACCGGGTGAGTGAGAACAGGGGGAGTGATAGCAGGGGGAGTTAGAACAGAGGGAGTAAGAACAGAGGGAGGAAGAACAGAGGGAGGAAGAAAAGAGGGAGGAAGAACAGACGGAGAAAGAACAGAGAGAGGAAGAACAGAGGGAGTAAGGACAGAGGGAGTAAGAACAGAGGGAGAAAGAACAGAGGGAGGAAGAACAAAGGGAGGAAGAACAGAGGGACGAAGAACAGAGGCAGGAAGAACAGAGGGAGTAAGAACAGAGGGAGTAAGAACAGAGGGAGGAAGAAAAGAGGGAGGAAGAACAGAGAGAGTAATAACAGAGGGAGTTAGAACAGAGGGAGTAAGAACAGAGGAAGTAAGAACAGAGGTACTAAGAACAGAGGGAGGAAGAACAGAGGGAGGAAGAAAAGAGGGAGGAAGAAAAGAGGGAGGCAGAACAGAGCGAGAAATAACAGAGGGAGTTAGAACAGAGGGAGTAAGAACAGAGGGAGTAAGAACAGAGGAAGGAAGAACAGACGGAGGAAGAACAGAGGGAGGAAGAACAGAGGGAGGAAGAACAGAGGGAGGAAGAACAGAGGGAGTAAGGACAGAGGGAGTAAGAACAGAGGGAGAAAGAACAGAGGGAAGAAGAAAAGAGGGAGGACGAACAGAGGGAGGAAGAACAGAGGGAGGAAGAACAGAGGGAGGAAGAACAGAGGGAGTAAGAACACAGGGAGTAAGAACAGAGGGAGTTAGAACAGAGGGGGTAAGAACAAAGGGAGTACGAGCAGAGGGAGGAAGAAAAGAGGGAGGAAGAACAGAGGGAGGAAGAAAAGAGGGAGTTAGAACAGAGGGAGTAATAACAGATGGAGTTAGAACAGAGGGAGTAAGAACAGAGGGAGAAAGAACAGAGGGAGGAGGAACAGAGGGAGGAAGAACAGAGGGAGTAAGAACAGAGGGAGTTAGAACAGAGGGAGCAAGAACAGAGGGAGGAGAAACAGAGGGAGGAAGAACAGAGGGAGGACGAACAGAGGGAGGAAGAACTGAGGGAGTAGGAACAGTGGGAGGAAGAACAGAGGAAGGAAGAAAAGAGGGAGTAAGAACAGAGGGAGTAATAACACAGGGAGTAAAAACAGAGGGAGTAAGAACAGAGGGAGGAAGAACAGAGGGAGGAGGAACAGAAGGAGGAAGAACAGAGGGAGTAAGAACAGAGGGATGAAGAACATGGGGAGTAAGAACAGACGGAGGAAGAAAAGAGGGAGTAAGAACAGAGGGAGCAAGAACAGAGGGACGAAGAACAGAGGGAGTAAGAACAAAGGGAGGAAGAAAAGAAGGAGTAAGAACAGAGGGAGTAATAACAGAGGGAGTTAGAACAGAGGGAGTGAGTAAGAACAGAGGTAGTAAGAAGAGAGGGAGGAAGAAGACAGGGAGGAAGAACGGAGGAAGGAAGATCAGAGGCAGGAAGAAGAGAGGCAGGAAGAACAGAGGGAGGAAGAACAGAGGGAGTAAGAACAGAGGGAGTAATAACAGAGGGAGTAATAACAGAGGGAGTAAGAACAGAGGTAGTAAGAACAGAGGGAAGAAGAAAAGAGTGAGGAAGAAAAGAGGGAGGAAGAACAAGGGGAGGAAGAACAAAGGGAGTAAGAACAGAGGGAGAAAGAACCGGGTGAGTGAGAACAGGGGGAGTGATAGCAGGGGGAGTTAGAACAGAGGGAGTAAGAACAGAGGGAGGAAGAACAGAGGGAGGAAGAAAAGAGGGAGGAAGAACAGACGGAGAAAGAACAGAGAGAGGAAGAACAGAGGGAGTAAGGACAGAGGGAGTAAGAACAGAGGGAGAAAGAACAGAGGGAGGAAGAACAAAGGGAGGAAGAACAGAGGGACGAAGAACAGAGGCAGGAAGAACAGAGGGAGTAAGAACAGAGGGAGTAAGAACAGAGGGAGGAAGAAAAGAGGGAGGAAGAACAGAGAGAGTAATAACAGAGGGAGTTAGAACAGAGGGAGTAAGAACAGAGGAAGTAAGAACAGAGGTACTAAGAACAGAGGGAGGAAGAACAGAGGGAGGAAGAAAAGAGGGAGGAAGAAAAGAGGGAGGCAGAACAGAGCGAGAAATAACAGAGGGAGTTAGAACAGAGGGAGTAAGAACAGAGGGAGTAAGAACAGAGGAAGGAAGAACAGACGGAGGAAGAACAGAGGGAGGAAGAACAGAGGGAGGAAGAACAGAGGGAGGAAGAACAGAGGGAGTAAGGACAGAGGGAGTAAGAACAGAGGGAGAAAGAACAGAGGGAAGAAGAAAAGAGGGAGGACGAACAGAGGCAGGAAGAACAGAGGGAGGAAGAACAGAGGGAGGAAGAACAGAGGGAGTAAGAACACAGGGAGTAAGAACAGAGGGAGTTAGAACAGAGGGGGTAAGAACAAAGGGAGTACGAGCAGAGGGAGGAAGAAAAGAGGGAGGAAGAACAGAGGGAGGAAGAAAAGAGGGAGTTAGAACAGAGGGAGTAATAACAGATGGAGTTAGAACAGAGGGAGTAAGAACAGAGGGAGAAAGAACAGAGGGAGGAGGAACAGAGGGAGGAAGAACAGAGGGAGTAAGAACAGAGGGAGTTAGAACAGAGGGAGCAAGAACAGAGGGAGGAGAAACAGAGGGAGGAAGAACAGAGGGAGGACGAACAGAGGGAGGAAGAACTGAGGGAGTAGGAACAGTGGGAGGAAGAACAGAGGAAGGAAGAAAAGAGGGAGTAAGAACAGAGGGAGTAATAACACAGGGAGTAAAAACAGAGGGAGTAAGAACAGAGGGAGGAAGAACAGAGGGAGGAGGAACAGAAGGAGGAAGAACAGAGGGAGTAAGAACAGAGGGATGAAGAACATGGGGAGTAAGAACAGACGGAGGAAGAAAAGAGGAAGTAGGAACAGAGGGAGCAAGAACAGAGGGAGGAAGAACAGAGGGAGTAAGAACAGAGGGAGGAAGAAAAGAAGGAGTAAGAACAGAGGGAGTAATAACAGAGGGAGTTAGAACAGAGGGAGTAAGAACAGAGGGAGGAAGAACAGAGGGAGGAAGAACAGAGGGAGGAAGAACAGAGGGAGGAAGAACAGAGGGAGTAATGACAGAGGGAGTTAGAACAGAGGGAGTAAGAAAAGAGGGAGTAAGAACAGAGGTAGTAAGAAGAGAGGGAGGAAGAGCAGAGGGAGGAAGAACAGAGGGAGGAAGATCAGAGGCAGGAAGAAAAGAGGCAGGAAGAACAGTGGGGGGGAGAACAGATGGAGTAAGAACAGAGGGAGTAATAACAGAGGGAGTAATAACAGAGGGAGTAAGAACAGAGGTAGTAAGAACAGAGGGAAGAAGAAAAGAGTGAGGAAGAACAGAGGGATTAATAACAGAGGGAGTTAGAACAGAGGGAGTAAGAACAGAGGGAGTAAGAACAGAGGGAGTCAGAACAGAGGTACTAAGAACAAAGGGAGGAAGAACAGAGGGAGGAAGAACAGTGCGAGGAAGAACAGAGGGAGGAAGAACAGCGGGAGCAGGAACAGACGGAGGAAGAACAGAGGGAAGAACATTGGGAGTAAGAACAGAGGGAGGAAGAAAAGAGGGAGTAAGAACAGAGGGAGTTATAGCAGAGGGAGTACGAACAGAGGGAGTAAGAACAGAGGGAGGAAGAACAGAGGGATGAAGAACATGAGGAGTAACAAACAGAGGGAGGAAGAAAAGAGGGAGTAAGAGAAGAGGGAGGAGGAACAGAGGGAGGAAGAACTGAGGGAGGAAGAAAAGAGGGACTAAGAACAGAGGGAGCACGAACAGAGGGAGGAAGAACAGAGGGAAGAAGAACAGAGGGAGGAAGAAAAGAGGGAGTAATAACAGAGGGAGTAATAACAGAGGGAGTTACAACAGAGGGAGTAAGAACAGAGGGAGGAAGAACAGAGGGAGTAAGAACAGAGGGAGGAAGAACAGAGGGATGAAGAACATGAGGAGTAACAAACAGAGGGAGGAAGAAAAGAGGGAGTAAGAGAAGAGGGAGGAGGAACAGAGGGAGGAAGAACTGAGGGAGGAAGAAAAGAGGGACTAAGAACAGAGGGAGCAGGAACAGAGGGAGGAAGAACAGAGGGAAGAAGAACAGAGGGAGGAAGAAAAGAGGGAGTAAGAACAGAGGGAGTAATAGCAGAGGGAGTTACAACAGAGGGAGTAAGAACAGAGGGAGGAAGAACAGAGGGAGTAATAACAGAGGGAGGAAGAACAGAGGCAGAAATAACAGAGGGAGTTAGAACAGAGGGAGGAAGAACAGAGGGAGTAAGAACAGAGGGAGGAAGAACAGAGGGAGTAAGAACAGAGGTAGTAAGAACAGAGGGGGGAAGAACAGAGGGAGGAAGAAAAGATGGAGGAAGAACAGAGGGAGGCAGAACAGAGGGAGGAAGAATAGAGGGAGGAAGAACAGAAGGAGTAAGTACAGAGGGAGTAACAAAAGAGGGAGAAAGAAAAGAGGGAGGAAGAAAATCGGGAGGAAGAACAGAGGGAGAAATAACAGAGGGAGTTAGAACAGAGGGAGTATGAACCGAGGGAGTAAGAACAGAGGCAGTAAGAACAGAGGGAGGAAGAACAGAGGGAGGAAGAATAGAGGGAGGAAGAACAGAGGGAGGAAGAACAGAGGGAGGAAGACCAGAGCGAGGAAGAACAGAGGGAGTAAGTACAGAGGGAGTAACAACAAAGGGAGGAAGAACAGAGGGAGGAAGAACAGAGGGAGGAAGAACAGAGGGAGGAAGAACAGAGGGAGTAAGAACAGAGGGAGTAAGAACAGAGGGAGTTAGAACAGAGGGGGTAAGAACAAAGGGAGTACGAGCAGAGGGAGGCAGAAAAGAGGGAGGAAGAACAGAGGGAGGAAGAAAAGAGGGAGTTAGAACAGAGGGAGTAATAACAGAGGGAGTTAGAACAGAGGGAGTAAGAACAGAGGGAGAAAGAACAGAGGGAGGAGGAACAGAGGGAGGAAGAACAGAGGGAGTAATAACAGAGGGAGGAAGAACAGAGGGAGTAATAACAGAGGGAGTTAGAACAGAGGGAGCAAGAACAGAGGGAGGAGGAACAGAGGGAGGAAGAACAGAGGGAGGACGAACAGAGGGAGGAAGAACTGAGGGAGTAGGAACAGAGGGAGGAAGAACAGAGGAAGGAAGAAAAGATGGAAGAAGAACAGAGGGAGTAAGAACAGAGGGAGGAAGAACAGACGGAGTAAGTACAGAGGGAGTAACAACAGAGGGAGGAAGAACAGAGGGAGGATAACAGAGGGAGGAAGAACAGAGGGAGGATGAACAGAGGGAGGAAGAACAGAGGGAGGAAGAACAGAGGGAGGAAGAACAGAGGGAGTAAGACCGGAGGGAGGAAGAACAGAGGGAGGAAGAACAGAGGGAGGAAGAACAGAGGGAGGAAGAACAGAGGGAGGAAGAACAGAGGGAGGAAGAACAGAGGGAGGAAGAACAGAGGGAGGAAGAACAAAGGGAGTAAGAACAGAGGGAGGAAGAAAAGAGGGAGTAAGAACAGAGGGAGCAGGAACAGAGGGAGGAAGAAAAGAGGGAGGAAGAACAGAGGGAGTAATAACAGAGGGAGGTAGAACAGAGGGAGTAATAACAGAGGGAGGAAGAACAGAGGGAGTAAGGACAGAGGGAGTAAGAACAGAGGGAGGAAGAACAGAGGGAGTAAGACCAGAGGGAGTGAGAACAGGGGGAGTAAGAACAGAGGGAGAAATAACAGAGGGAGTTAGAACAGAGGGAGTAAGAACAGAGGGAGGAAGAACAGAGGAAGTAATAACAGAGGGAGTGAGAACAGGGGGAGTAAGAACAGGGGGAGTAAGAACACAGGGAGGAAGAACAGAGGGAGGAAGAACAGAGGGAGGAAGAACAGAGGGAGTAAGAACAGAGCGAGTAAGAACAGAGGGAGGAAGAACAGAGGGATTAAGAACAGAGGGAGGAAGAACAAAGGGAGGAAGAACAAAGGGAGGAAGAACAAAGGGAGGAAGAACAGAGGGAGGAAGAACAGAGGGAGCAGGAACAGACGGAGGAAGAACAGAGGGAAGAAGAACATTGGGAGTAAGAACAGAGGGAGAAAGAAAAGAGGGAGTAAGAACAGAGGGAGTAATAACAGAGGGAGTAAGAACAGAGGGAGCAAGAACAGAGGGAGTTAGAACAGAGGGAGTAAGAACAGAGGGAGGAAGATAAGAGGGAGTAAGAACAGAGGGAGCAGGAACAGAGGGAGTAATAACAGAGGGAGTAAGGACAGAGGGAGTAAGAACAGAGGGAGAAAGAACAGAGGGAAGAAGAACAGAGGGAGGAAGAACAGAGGGAGGAAGAACAGAGGGAGTAAGAACAGAGGGAGTAAGAACAGAGGGAATTAAGAACAGAGGGGGTAAGAACAGAGGGAGGAAGAAAAGAGGGAGTAAGAACAGAGGGAGGAGGAACAGAGGGAGGAAGAACAGAGGGAGGACGAACAGAGGGAGGAAGAACTGAAGGAGTAGGAACAGAGGGAGGAAGAACAGAGGAAGGACGAAAAGATGGAAGAAGAACAGAGGGAGTAAGAACAGAGGGAGGAAGAACTGAGGGAGGAAGAACATAGGGAAGAAGAACAGAGCGAGTAAGAACAGAGGGAGGAAGAAAAGAGGGAGTAAGAACAGAGGGAGTAATAACACAGGGAGTAAAAACAGAGGGAGTAAGAACAGAGGGAGGAAGAACAGAGGGAGGAGGAACAGAAGGAAGAAGAACAGAGGGAGTAAGAACAGAGGGAGGAAGAACAGAGGGATGAAGAACATGGGGAGTAAGAACAGACGGAGGAAGAAAAGAGGGAGTAAGAACAGAGGGAGTAATAACAGAGGGAGTTAGAACAGAGGGAGTAAGAACAGAGGGAGGAAGAACAGAGGGAGGAAGAACAGAGGGAGGAAGAACAGAGGGAGGAAGAACAGAGGGAGTAATAACAGAGGGAGTTAGAACAGAGGGAGTAAGAAAAGAGGGAGTAAGAACAGTTGTAGTAAGAAGAGAGGGAGGAAGAGCAGAGGGAGGAAGAACAGAGGGAGGAAGATCAGAGGCAGGAAGAAGAGAGGCAGGAAGAACAGAGGGGGGAAGAACAGATGGAGTAAGAACAGAGGGAGTAATAACAGAGGGAGTAATAACAGAGGGAGTTACAACAGAGGGAGTAAGAACAGAGGGAGGAAGAACAGAGGGAGTAATAACAGAGGGAGGAAGAACAGAGGCAGAAATAACAGAGGGAGTTAGAACAGAGGGAGGAAGAACAGAGGGAGTAAGAACAGAGGGAGGAAGAACAGAGGGAGTAAGAACAGAGGTAGTAAGAACAGAGGGGGGAAGAACAAAGGGAGGAAGAAAAGATGGAGGAAGAAAAGCGGGAGGAAGAACAGA